GAATGACAAAGCTATACTAAAACTGAATAAGAGCTTTAAAAAGTTTTGATAGAAGAATATTAATTTGACTGGTTTAGCTCAGCTTCATATAGATAGAACAAATTGATAATGGAATAATTCAGTATGTATTTCTAATAAAATGCAATGAAAATAAATGGAACATGATGATTTCATTAAAAATATGAATGTTGCATCAGGATGTACCGTTGGGTTACATAATACCATCAATCCAAAGAAAACTGACTATGGATATCAGCCGGAAAATTGTACAAGAAACAGGTTTTTCAGTTCATAGGGAAAGGGATCCTGACTTCATGGGTAAGAACTTTCACCACCAAAATAACATTTAATGAATAGGTTTTTTCTTGACTAAATAAAACCCAGACACTTTTCAACTCAGGTTAGATAATGCAGTTCATTCAAACAAAAATGGAGAATTTGTTTTAAGGAACTTGTCATAAAAGGAACTTAACTACGCTCAAAGTTGCCCAGAGAACAACTCCTTGCTTAGTGGTCACATCATTACCACCAGGTCTCATGTGATTCAACCACAGTAGGGGAGATGTAATTTTTAGTTCCCTCTTTAACCTGAAGGACCTGCAACTACAATGCCAGAAGAGAAATAAGAGCTATTGGTGTAGTACAATTTAAGGGGTGAAACATCCTCCTTTTTTGTTGTTGTTTTTTTGGTTTTGGAGCTGTACTTTGCATAGACTGCTTCAAAGAAGGTATGAGCTCCTAACCCACAGATGGTGGCAGGAGGTGGTACCTCTTACCACAGGAGGTGGTAGGAGGGAATACCCTGATTGCTCGGAGGCAGCAGTATAAGAAAACAGTTTTTGAGCCTCTTTCAGTGGTTTTGTGAAATCATTTCATTGGCTTTTATTATAGTATCTGAAAACTAACCGGAAATGTCAAATGCTTTTGATGCTTCATGTGACAAACTGTTTTGACATTTTTTAAATGTTATCATTTTTACTTAATCTAAAACTATTTTTTCTAATTCAGTCCAAATTTTCAAAGCTTCAAGTAGCATCTTCTTGCTACTTTTACAGCACATACACACACAAATTTTCACAATTCTGGTCAACAAGGTTGCCCTACAAAGATCCAAAGCAGTGTTTGGTCTAAATAATAAAATCAGAGTTATACCTGTTATGTACTTAATCATTAACAATAACCTTCCATCACAAAAATGTTCCTCTCTAGATTGTTTTTTCCTGTTTCTCTTCAGTTTCCACTCATCATCTCCAACTGTTCTCTATCTTTGCATATAATTTTCATTTTCTTTCCTCTGCCTTTCCTTGCTGGTAGCAAGGCCCAAATGGCTTTGATCTCCTCTGTCCACTGTGACTCTCTTGCACATCCACCATCTTATAGCAATCACTCTTCTAAGAAATGTAATAAATAAATACAAAAGATAGCACATGAAATTTAAATACCATGGGAAGAAAGTTGCCACTTTTTACAGGGAGCCAATTAATAAATTAGGTCCATTTTCAAGATGATGTGTGACAGAAAATAGATTTATACTTTAGGCTGTCTACACTGAGATATTACGCCTTTATTTAACACTGTGCACTGATGACCTACCTCCTTCTGAACTGCTTGAATGGGAAGTGTCAAGCAGGGCCACCATGGAGCCACCAAAAGCAGAATGGAACCCACTAACAGGCAGAGACCTTGCACGTGCAGCCAACACCACAACCAACCCAGCCCCAGCCCAGCCAGAGGAAGATATGAATTGCCTTCTTGAAGCTTATCAGCCACATCTTCTGTGTGTACGACATGACACAACACAGTATGTATCTTACTCTCTTTGAATATGGTAGGAAACGAGGACCTATATAAAAACAAGTCTTTTTTTCTTCAAAAATAACAGATGGAAAACATGCAACAATAACAAAAAAAATTTACCATATATTTGCTATGCAGTGTACCACACAGCTACCACAACATGAAAATAATAATAAAGAGCAGTATCCATAGCAAGCTCCAAAAAGTTACTCCGTAAGCAGTGAAAGCAACACCCACGTTTCTATAAATCTGTTCTCTTTTCATGCCCTAAACTCCCAACACCAGCCCCAGCTCACTTTTCAGTTCTGCCGACATGGCCACCAATGGACAGACAGAATATCTATGGGCCCATCAGCAACATCTGCTGGCCAACCTGCCACTGCGGCCGCCTGCTGCTGAACATTGAGCAGTGGGGTTCTCCTTCTCCACTGCTTTCCCTCTGAACTGGTTTTGCTCTTTTGTCTTGCAGTAGATTTCACAAAAAATGATAAGAAGATATTGCATGTAAATTAAGTTTTTAACTACCCACACTTTTGTTCTGTAGTTGCCCTCAAAATTTGAGTAAGAAAGCCAGCACCCCACGGGTTGGAGCTGCTGTTCTACCTGCTCAGAAGCCCCTTGAGAGCCCACCCTACCCTTCAGACATGTTTCTCCCAGAGACAGGGCGATCATTCATGGCCATCAAGATTTCAGCTGTACCTCAAGTGGGATTTTTAGCAAAGCCTTGACATCAGCACAATTCATACCCCAAGCAAGCACCGTTTCAGTCCCACACATGCACCATGTTCCCCTTCCCTTAGGCAACGCTTCTCGCCCACGAGAATCGGGGAACAGCTGGGTACATTTTCTGCTTTCCAACATCATTTCCAGTGAGCATTTTCCCCTCCCACGAGACAGCAGCAGGGAGGCTGCGTTGCCTCCTGCCTCAGGCAGATCTCCCATCACCACCGTTTCAAACTTGCCAGGGTCCCTCACGGTTGCCAGGGGCTGGTGGCTTGCGAGGCAGGCTGGTGGGCCCCTCTCCCTGAGGAAGGGCCCGGCCAGTGGGACCAAGCTTTGCTCTTTCCCCCCTCCTCCCTCACCCCTGAGGGAGGATGCTCCTGCAGCCAGGAACGGCTTTCCGGTGGCCGCG